CTCAAGGCTAGCACTCTACCACTTGAGCCACAGCGCCACTTCTGGCTTTTTCTGCTTATGTGGTGCTGAGGAATGGAACCCAGGGCCTCATACATGTAAGGCAAGCGCTCTACCACTGAGCCACCTTCCCAGCCCCCATGACTACATTTCTTATCAAGCATTGTAGCCTCCTCCGTTTCCCCATCCCATCCCTCCCCCTCCCCCCCCATGTCCTTGTGCTCTTCAGCTCAAGGCAAGCTCTCTACCTCTTGAGCCACAGTGCCACTTGCGGTTTTCTAGTGGTTTATTGGAGATAAGAGTCTCATGGACTTTCCTGCCCTGGATGGCTTTGAACCTCGATCCTTAGATCTCAGTCTCCTGAGTAGCTAGAATTACAGGCGTGAGCCACCGGTGCCTGGCTTTGCCTTTTTTTAATTAATTAATTTAGTCTGGTTAAAAGAGGGAAGAAGGGCTGGGAAGGTGGCTCAGTGGTAGAGTGCTTGCCTTGCATGCATGAGGCCCTGGGTTTGATTCCTCAGCACCACATAAGCAGAAAAAACCAGAAGTGGTGTTGTGCCTCAAGTGGTAGAGTGCTAGCCTTGAGTTGAAGGGCTGAGGGACAGCGCCCAGGCCCAGAGTTCAAGACCCATGTTAGAGGAGGAGGGGGAGGGGGAGAGGGAGGAGGAGGGAAAAAGAGTTCTTAAAGTTCTCACTTTTGCCTGGCACCTGCGCCCCGTGTTTGTGCAGAGCTCCGTCCCAGGCTGGTGGGTAAAGTAGTGCCCTCCAGGATTTGCTAATGGAAGGGCAGGCAGAGGCTCTTTGAAATCACTAGCCTGAGGCTTGAAAAGATCCACCTGGGTCTGGGTGTGGCAACGCCTGCCCGTAGTAATCTCAGCTTTTGGAGGGTGGTGGCTCCCAGCTCAGCACAGGTGGTATCCAAACCTTATCTCAAAAAGCAAAGGAAACTGGCAAGGCCTCCCAGGTTCCATCTCCAGTACCCAAACCAACAGACAAAAAGTGAGGATCTGAGGGGGCTGGGAAGGTAGCTCAGTGGTAGAGTGCTTGCCTTGCATGCATGAGGCCCTGGGTTCAATTCCTCAGCACCACATAAGCAAAAAGAAAAAAG